AAAAAAAAAAAAAAAAAAAAAAAAAAAACGATGCTCATGGTCGAGTACACAGGTGAACGGACACCTATCGCAGAGGTACAAGATGTCAAGGTCCGTGCGCCAAGGTGACCCGCGGTGGCAGCTCCTATCTTCCTTTTCATTATGGAAGCAATAGCGCCATTCTTCAGAAAGGACACATCGATAGACAGCGCTTGATAGCACAACCGGACCAACAAGGCAGATTCCTTCAACTGCCTACAACGCTCCTCTTGTCAAGGGTTTCGTGCTTGGGACGGTTTTGATCGGGCCACGGACTCGTCTTTTGAAGGATGAACGAGAGCCAATGAGCGCCCTTTCAGCTCAGCTAGCTTCGGAGATGAGAATTAACTGGCCCAAGACGATCGGATGGTGGCTGACCGATGGAGGGGAGGAGGAGGAGCAGCAACAACAACCTGCAAGCTACGGAGGAATGAGTTGGGTACCCGCAGCAGAACCCCTTGAGGTATTTAGGGTGCAGATAGAGGCCCTCACCATTCAACGGCGCCGTTGAATGTCGTGAGGGCCTGTATCTGAACCCTAAATACCCCTTTTTTTGGTGAATGGTCAGAAATCTATACATCTCTAACGAGGTTGCGTGGTGTAAGGGGGACACCAACCAAACCAGCAAACAAATTTTTGGATGACAATTGAACCTTTCCCCTCCATCGAGAAGAGATCAATGCACTCGATTGAATCCTGCCCTTCTCGATATTCAAACTTTTCTGAAAGTTTTTTTCTTTTTTTTTCCTCAAATGCCGAAGCACTGACACATAACAAAAATTGACCCTGATATGTCGCAGAGTGTCGAGCAATTTTCTGATCTGACAAGTCCCATCCTTTCACAACTGAAATACCTATCCATTTCCAAAATGAGCTTGTTCATGCATCTTTAAAGAAAAAACAAGTTAAATAAACAAATAAAAATTATGAGCATAGAATAGAATGCTGATTGTGGAGAACCAACCTCTCCCTCCCACCTGTTCGCACACTTGTAGTAAATCGTCTCAGGTGCGTTGTAGGTGCGCGCATTCGCAAACATGCGCTTCAAATCCGCAGCAAAGATCTCTAGGGTTATGTAATACTGCTCCGTATCCAATCGCTTTGACACAGTCCTCAGATCTGTGGAACAAACAAACAAACAAACAAACAAACAAACAAAATTAACAAATAAATAAATAATATAACTTACAAAGTTCACATAAATAAGTAGTGATCAAAAGCCGTAGTAGTGACAAAAAGACAAAGCATGGTCCCAGGCATGGTCCCAGTGAGGCCTCCAATCCATTTCATCCATGACAATACCTACGGCTTTTTTCAAGTTTTTGACTGACCTGCCCCTGGCCAAAATGCCCATCTAAATATTCCTCTTAAACCACCACTACCTTTCAGAGGCAAACTTTTGCAACAAACTGAGTTATATCCGCATTCTTTTTGGGGGCTAGACCTCCCGGACCTCTTTGGCTGGCAGTGTGAGCCAAAAAGTAAAAAATGTTCCACCACGCCAGTTCATTTTGAAATTGGTGCGCAGCGCAAAATGCATTGGGAAAAGAGGCTCGGAGGTAGTGGTAGTTTGATTAAAAAAAAATAAAAAAAAATAACAAAAATAGTAAATACTGAACACAGTCGAATTAACTTGCATACACTGTAGTTGATTGACTCAAATTTGACTCGTCCATAAAAAAGCACAACAACCCCATAGGTAATGAACCCGGTCTCGTTGAGAAGCCACACACACACACACACACACACACACACACACACACACACACACACACAGAGAGAGAGAGAGA